GGCACTGAAAAAGGTGGAAGGCACGTTCAAATGTAAGAAATGTGTTCATGGTGTGATTAATAGGACGGACGCAAGGACGGGGTTGAGTGATGGTATTGAAAGAGTGGAAAGCTTTGTTTACTTAGGGGATAAGCTGAATGCGGATGGAGGATGTTTGAGCGCAGTTACGGCTAGAGTTCGTGTGGGATGGATGAAATTTAGGGAACTGGGTGGGGTACTGTGTGGAAAGAAATGGTCAGTGAAGATGAAAGGGAGGGTATATAAAGCATGTGAGAGCAGCGATGGTATATGGTGGTGAAACTTGGGTGTTGAGGAGAGAGGAGGAAAGTGTACTGCAGAGGGCTGAAAGAGCTATGGTGAGGATGATGTGTGGGGTTAAAGTGAAGGATAGGAGGAGTAGTACAGAGCTGATGTCAATGATGGGACTGAATGAGGACATTGTGACATTGATAAGGAGATCGAGATTGCGGTGGTATGGACATGTGTTGAGAAGAGATGAAAGGGTCGGGATTAGGCGAGCGTTGGAGTTCGAGGTTGAAGGAGTGGTAGGAAGGGGTCGTCCGCGATTGGGATGGAGAGAGCAGGTGGAGAAGGACAAAGTGAAAGCGGGGTTGCGTGCTACTGAGGCGAGTGACAGATGTTGATGGCGTCGAGGGGTATTTCGTTTTCATCAAAGGTAGCCAAACGGCAACCCCCGATCTCGGGGAAAATGCCGTCTAAACGTGTGTTGTTGTTGTACCAACACACACACACACACATATATATATATATATATATATATATATATATATATATATATATATATAATTGAGACTATTTTATATGCAGTTGCTTAAGAATATCATAGCAGCATTATTGTCATTTAATTTATAATTGGGTTTCTCAATTTTTTGTCAGAGTTTGTTAAGTTTGTAAAAAAATAATTCTGTTTAAGAACTTAATTAATTGGATGAGCTGCAAGCACTTATAAATTAAAGACTATGTAAAACATTACTATTGCATTTTTTATTTTATTTTAAGATCTGTCCATGCAACACATCTGAAAAATTTTACATATAAAATAAAGAGAAAATTGTACAAAGTAAAACTGACCTTCCAAATGATTTATTGAAGTGCTGTCATCTTTGATAGCTTTTTCATCACGAAATGTTATTTTAGCCACTCTCTGCCTGTTCAGCAGCGTGTTCACATAGGTCAGCGACTCAACCTCCCTCTCATTCTAAAGAAGATTTGTATTGACAATTTATAAATAAAAATTTTTTTAAAAGTTGATAAAAAACAAATTGTATTTATGTAAAAATATAAAATAGAACTAACATAGTAACTGATAGCCATGGTTAAAATAATGAGTGGTTCACTGCAGGGTTCATTATGGGTTGCCTGATTCTGCTGTTCAATTGGCGGTGATTGCAGTTGTGCATTCACTGCTGCAGGTGATGGTGTTTGATGATAATGAGCTGGAAGAGACTGAGGTACCTGCAACGATCCACTATCTTCACAAGATATCTTCAAGTTTGATAATGATGATGACAGCATGTTATAAGATACATCATTAACGTTGTTCAAGATCTTCTGTTCATTATAGTCATCGCAATCGTCATCACTGTTACAGTCTAAAGGCTGTGGTTTTGAAGTTGCCTCTGGTGTCGAAGCATTAAGTGAAGTGCTAATCTTCTGTATAGGTATCGGTTCTCTAGACGAGTCTGTCATTTTTATCTTTTCACATGACACCATTGAGTTGCTTAAAAAATTATCATCAGTATCTTTGATGTGTCGTTTGGAAGGCAAGACGTTCTGACACATTTCACTTGTTCTTTTCAGTTGCTTTGAAATAAATTATAAAAATTACAAAAATATGTGATAGTTTTACAAAGTATGAAACAAATTGAAATTATTACCATTTTAACTACTTGAAATAACATGGAATTCCCATTTATAATCTGGGTGTCAGAAACTGAAAAAAAAAATAGCAAACATATAAATTAAAAAATTGATGCAAAATGTGTTCGTTACAACATAATTATACTCTAATACTCACAGTTTTTCAATTATTCAAATCTAAATGTGAACAAAAATTAAGAATACGACAAAACTACACATTATGTTTCCTTAAATGGATTTTTGCTTCATAATAACGAACAAGCCAAATAAGATTGTGAGATTTTTTATTTTGTCGAATGGTTTCAGCAGAGAACAAATTCTAAAAGAACGGAAAATTATTTTGGCAAATGATAGGATGAGGAATATTTAAAAAACTTCAGTAATTAAAAGAGGATACCAGCCAAAATTTCAAAACTCCTGAAAAGTGACTCATTGAAAAGAATTTAATATACGTTTAACGATGGCAGAAGTAGTAACAACAGGCATGGAAGATGAGATAAAACAGTTACAGGAAGCCAGCATCTGACAGGGCACTAAATAGCAACAAACCGAAGGCAAACTGTGTTGCCATTAAAGCCGATTAAACAAATACAGTTTCAACTTTAAAAGATGATTGATGGTTTGATATTTACTGGTGATGGCTTTGCTGGTGTTAGCAAGAACTGGCCAGGAATAATTTTTAATCAGAAAAAATTTTTAATAATAACAGCACAAATAATAAAAAAATCTTTTGATAGATAAATAAATCTGAGTCTCTTAGAATAGCTTTTAGAACAGTTGCTTAATGAAGACAAAACAAACGATATTTAATTTACTTAAAAACCAACATTGATCCAAACTAATTTTATTAGCTGATATTGGATTGAAACAACAACACACATTTAGACGACATTTTCCCTGAGATCGGGGGCTACCGTTTGGCTACCTATGATGAAACCGAAATACCCCTCGACGCCATTCACATCTGTCACTCGCCTCAGTATCACTCAACCCCGCTTTCACTTTGTCCTTCTCCACCTGCTCTCTCCATCCCAGTTGCGGACGACCTCTTCCTATCACTCCTTCAACCTCGAACTCCAACACTTGCCTAATTCCGACCCTTTCATCCCTTCTCAACACATGTTCATACCACCGCAATCTCGATCTCCTTATCAATGTCACAATGTCCTCATTCAGTCCCATCCTCGACATCAGCTCTGTACTACTCCTCCTATCCTTCACTTTAACCCCACATTGGATTGAAAACAATCAACAAACTCTTGCTCATGTCAATGAAAATGTGAATGCAAGAAAAGATAGCATATTTATCAAGGTCAATCATATATCCATATGAAGTCAAAAACCTAATTCAGTCTGACATTAATTTCTTCTTTTTTGATACTATCCCTAAAATTCAAAGTCCTAAAAAACAACTAAAAAGTAATGCAAATAGTGGTGGAATGACGTTGTTTAATGGCAAAAATATTAAAAATTAGCTATGAAAATTTACCTCTAAGTTTATGTTTCCTAGAAATTCTTTCAACCTTCCTTACTGGCAGGTTGTACCTTGGGCTGAATGAAGGTTCTTTGTTTTCTTCATCTGATTTTGTGGCCTCATCAAATTTCCGAATTTTCAATGGGTCTTTTCTTTTACAAATGAAGTATCTTCTATGTTCATGAACCTTTGCTTCCTTTATAACACTGGATCTATTTACAGGGCAAACTTTTCTAACAGGAGTTTCCAGTCTATGTTCAAGTAATAAATTTGATATTGAAGACTTTCTACCAGAATAGGAATTTCGACGCTTTGACAAATCGGATAATAATGGGAGAGAAAATGAGGAGAGGCTGCCAGGCTTCATTGGAAATGTTTCTTTACTCCTTGGAGATTGGTTGTCTAAACTGTATCGCCTGAACTCTTTTTTAAGTAATTTTAAATCATCACAATTTGCTACCTGCAAGTCAAACAAAGATTGTGAATTCTTTAATTCTTTGGTACTTTTAAAACAACCATTGATTTTAACAGCCATGCCTAAATGTGGCATGTGTTGTGAACTGGGAATTAATGAAGCTTGTGAAGATTTGTGTTTTGAGATCGACTGCATAGGATTTATAAGACTAGCTGCACTTTCAGCTGCACGTTTATAGGTACATTTAATGAATAATTATATATAAAATTACAAAAGTATTAAGTGTTTCTTCATTCATCTGACTTTTTAATGACTAAAAGCTGCCAATCCAATTAGCACCCCAATAAGCATCTAAACAGTAGTAGGGCAATAATATAAAATGGATGGACACAAACAACGATTGACCCCACAGTAAACAGCAAGTTTCTAGAAATTATTTGTGCCTTAAATTAATTCTGGTAAAGTAAGCTAAACTTGTCTCTGAAAAGAAAAACATAAATTAATACCTTATTATAGTTTACAAAACAAATTTGTTATTCTTTATGTTTAACTTCTTTATAAAAAAAAATGCATATGATATATGCATTTTTTAGAATAGTTTATTTTTATTACTAATTTAATTACCAATTTGTGAAATGTCAAATGATTTTACATTTTACAATCAAATAATGCAAATGACCTTAAGTCTTTGCCCTTTCTTTAGTAGGCCTTTATGACCATCTTATATTTACATTTTTATGATTTTTAATCAATTAATTTAATTTTAACAATTATTAAATCAATTTAATATTAATTAATAATATTAATTTGTTAATAATTTAACTTTAACAATTAAGTCATTAAGATTACTCATTTTATTATTAAAATGAAAAAAACAAAATTAACAATCTAAATACTAACTAATAAATAAATTAATTAATTATTTAATAATATTAATTAAATTAATATTAATTATAATTAAAATTAAATAAAAACAACTCAAAAATAAGCTCACTAACGTGGTGTCGCGACGAAATTAAAAATTACGGTTTGTAGTTTGCGGTGTATTTCAATAAATATCAAGACTACTGTCCGGTAATATAATTTTCGGGAGTTTAGTAACAAAAACCGAACAAAATTAAAAAGAAAAATGAACACGACCGAGATTAAATGTTGTGACAATTTGAAGATGGTATGAATGATTTCAGCAATGTACCAGCATGCATTCGTGATTTTTCGCTATTGTGTAGCGCTATTATTTTTTTGTTTATGTAGCGCTATATATATTTTATTTTTTATTAAAGGTTAAAAAATATATTATATTATTTTATTCTATACATATCTTGTTAACCATATATATGTATAATAATATATATGCTTGTGCGTTATAAAAGCAGATTGTATGGGAATTTGCATATTTCATTAGGAATATTTAGCTTTTGCTGTTAAAGTGTCATTAACACTTAAGCTATCGTTTGTGCCATTAATCTATTGGAATCCATTTTTATGCCATTACTTCATTTTATTGTAAATTTATCTTAATTTTCATGCTTAAACATTTTTCTTTCTCCGTTTATTTATTTATTCACTTATTTGTTTAATTTTATAGTGCCTTGCATGCTGTAATAGTTTCTGCGCCTGTCAGACCCTGATATTTAAAGAATATTAATAAAAAAATTGACATAACCACACTGTTGGAAACTCGATTTCCAGATGAAGGTTTCCTGACTGAAATTAGTACAGATTCTTTCTATTCTTGATGGCTTATTGGTTAATGGCGCCTGGTCTTGTTAACTATTTTTTTAAAAAAATAAGTACTTACTAAAATAATTAACTCAAACGACAACAATTTTTTTGTTGGCAATTTTTTATTTCTACTTTTTAAAGTTTTTTTTCAACTGTTTCACTTTGTCATTGTTTCTTTTTACTTTTCTCTTTTGTGTTACGAATGGGCAAAATCTTGCCTTTAATTTAATCAGCAATGCGATGTATTTAGATATATGAGCAACGCCATATACATTATAAAAATACGCAATGAAAAAATTCATTAAATACTACTGGTGAAAAGTCAATCGCTGGCTTGACAACTAAAACATAGTTGAAATATATGAGATAAGTATTGTTACAGGCGTGAAGAACGAGAATTACGAAGAAGTCAGAAGAAGTTTCAAGCAGTCCTATTATCGGAGAGATATTTTGTTTGCGTACTGCAAACAAATTAGCGATAACGCCCGAGGAAAAGTTTGTCACGGAGAATTCTACACGCGGTCTGCGAGTGAATTACGATAATCTTCCGACGAGAAGAGCTTAATTATTGACGATTAGTTTTATCCCGTGATTTATCTGTTGATTAGTTATTGTGTTGTATTCTAACGATTTTATCGACTGAATAAACGAGAGATCGATAACCGCAATACACACAAGTGATTGCCAGCACTTTCTTTCTGATAAAGTTCATCTAAAATAAGTCTGTTTAGTAGTCAAGAATCCACGTAGAGAGAAATAACCATACCCTACAAGTTCAAGGGGTCGGTTATAACAGTATGAAAGTGAGCGTGCGAAGGAAAACATAATCTATAAACCAATCACATTCAATAACTTTGGTGAAATCTGTGTGAATGTGGTCAGCTGTTTAAAAACACGTGACATACAATATGTAAGATGAATATGGAAATGACTCTGACCTACTGCAAACACTGGTTGAGCTGATCAGCTGTTAACATTGACAAAGAACGGCGAGAAAGTATAAAATTGTGACGTTTGTAACAAAAAAACATATATTTTATTTTAGGTTGTTTTGAACTCTATATATAGAATAATAATAATAATTATTACTTTAGTGTTTGAGGTATAACATATATCTCAACGGTTTGAAAGAAAACTATTTTTTAATTTGTTAAAATTTAGTGAAATTAGTATAGGATATTTATGATTAAAACAAGCTTGCTTTTCACAATTTCATGCCATTTTGATAGTTTGTTTGCCTAAGAATGAAAGTATAACTTTTAGCCCGCTGAAATGGATTTATTTTGTTGTAATTAGAATAAAAAATAATTTGAATAAGGCCAAAGATGCGGTTTGAAGCCATAATTACCTGGCGCTTTCTGGATTAGCATTTGGGCAGAATACCTAGAGCTCCCTCAAAACAATATAAACTTCTTCCATAGCATTCCAAATATTTACGTGAAATCAGTTTTACATGCATGGCCGAGGAAAAGTTTACCACGGAGAATTCTACACGCGGTCTGCGAGTGAGTATAAATAATAAATACAGAATAATAGATAGTAAATACAGGAACTGTTTGGATGTTTGTTCGCCGCCATGTGTAACACTGTCCTCATTTCAAATGAAGCAAAAATCAATCGGTATTATTCGCAAACCATTTGAAATTCATTTTTTTTGCCATATTCATCGGCGATTGAATTAAGCAAGAGACAATTAATTTAAGTTAAATTAAGGTTAAAGGTTACTCTCTCTCTCTCTCTCTCTCTCTTTGTCGCTTGCAGCAGTGCTCCTCCGGAGATTACCAGAGGACTCACTTCACACTTTCTTACAGTTGACGAATGCAAAATTATTTTCCCTTCATGTGTCAAATTTCCAGGAAAATATTTCCATAAAAACTTAACCAGTTAACTCCGCTAACGTTACAATCGCGTAAAACACATGAAACAAACTTTTAATTTTCAAGACGCATGACATCCATAAACATAACTAACGAAAAATCTAAGTGTAAACTTAAAATACAAATAAAACATTAGAAAACCATTATGTTGAATAATTTATTACGGTGATGATAAACTGCTGAAAAAGCTGATAAAAAAGTTGACCATACAAAAATAGAATTAAAAATTCATTGCTTCATTTGAATAAGAAACACTTATAATATCGTATAAAGACAATCATGCAGCAGGCACAGGCAGCATCTTCCAAACGAACATCCATCCTTTGTATCTGGATTTTACGGCTATATGCATAGATACGTGTGCGACTTTCATACTCGAGAGTACATAATATAAAATTACAAAATAATAAAAATAATAATTAAAAAGATCTTGAAATCATGCTTCAAATAAAATGGAATAGATGATCTTCAGCCCTTCTTTTCAAAATCAACTTATTTAAAATTACTATTATAAAAATTGTCACTTGATTCCGTGTAACCAGAAAAGACAGCAGAACATGATATAACGTAAAATAAAAATTCATAGACTGAATGCATAAAATAATTATAAAAGGTAATGGGTTCCATTTTGGACGAGTACAAATCATTCTGAATCAATGAGTCATTAAGTTGAAACGAAATAAATTAATTAAAAATGCTGCAGATGGGCCAAGACAATAATTTCAAGTAACTGGGCTCAATATAAAGGCTTTAAAAAGGTTTCGAACACGACAACAATAATTTAAATTTCTGGAGATCATAACAATAACATTTCAAAACAGCCGTCTATTCCTTTTGAAACATCAGCAAGATGTGCTATTTACAAGAGTTGAATTCAAAGTTTATAACCCGTCCTACGAGCAAATCGAAGTAAGCGTTGAAAATCTAAATGAACAGTGCATAAAAATGAATTCTACAAATTGTCCAACTAAGAACGTGACAAAATATCACAATGAAACACACGCGGCATAACTCGACACTAACTACTTTCAGAGAGTCTTTTAGAAAATGCTAGAGGTGGTGAATGAAACTGGTGGCTGCTTAAATCGAACAATTGCGCACTAGCCGTCTTGTCAATGTCCATAACATTGTGTATGAAATTGTTTTTGACACCAGCGAATATATTCGATAGACTTTTCGATAATGTATGTGAAATGTCACTTAATGAGGTGCTTCGATTGTTTGAAAGTTTTTTATTGTTTTGAAATACTGGGATGCTGTCAATGTTTTCAACGCTGGCGCTTGAATGTTCTTTGATGTCCGAAATTGCTCTCACGGCGTTGATACGACCACTCGGTTTTGAAACGATTTTAACGTAAGGACTGTGGAGAGCTTTGTTTGATGTATTTTTGGGAAAAATTTCTATAATATTTGTACTCGAATTTTCTTTACAATTTAACTTTAATTCGTTGAACTTAATATTGTAACTCGAGACAGCATCGATGTTTGCTTTTGTTTTGGTATTGACATTAGTGTCAAAGTCAAGAGAACGAGGTTTGTTTGTGATAAAAAATTTGTTTGATGCTTTAGGACCAGAAACGTCACAAATATTTTTGGAAATTCCAACAAATTTTGGATTGTTGAAATTGCTGTCATCATAATCATCTCGCAACATGTGCGAGAAATTCATATTGAAACCACTGCAGGAAGGCTCTCCTCCACCACCACTCCCCCTTCCCAACTCATCGTCGTGCAGCGTGGCGGGTTCGTCATCATCCTCTGCCTCTGAGAGGATCTTTGAGAAGTTCTCTTCAATGAAGAAGTCGTTGATGCCGCTTCCCTTCAGCCACACGCCAGACGGCCTGCGGAGGACCTGCGAGAGATCTGGCGTGCCCAGCACCATCCACTCCTGCAACTGCCGTGATCTGAAGAGTGCTGACCAGCAAAAAAATACAACACAACAATTATCAACAAATTTTTAAATTAATGGATTAAAAATTAGGATAAATTAATATCAATGAACTTCTGGTTTATGATAACTTAGAACAAAATTGACGTTGACGACGATGATGAAACTATATTAAGCTAATCGAAACTAAACTAAGCGAATCAAAAAGGATCAAACTGAACTGAAAAACTATATAAAATTAGAATGTTAAAAATGATGCAAGCTAACGGAGAAAAGAATGCACAGATGTCTTCTCATCTCAACCACATCTCATCTCTTTTTTAACACCAAACATTAAAAACATAACAACAAAACAAATAAGAACAAAGCCAAAAGAATAATAAACTTTTTAATAATAATAAAAATAATAAAATAAAAAATAAAATAAATAATAGATTCAATTTAAATAGCAATGTGTGAAAAGTGAATAATACATACGAAAATTCTGAGGGCCAGTTTTGACAGCAGAGGACGGAGTGGTTAGATAGCCACTGCCTGGATTGTGCGATGTTGAGGATGACGTTGATGAGGGGCTGAAGAGATTCCTTGTCGTGAATGGCACATCTTGAACGTGCGTTGGACTGAAGTCTTCGTTATATTGCTCGCGAAAGCCGTGAAATTTGACAGACTGATTAAAGCCGCTGGTATGAGCTTTGTTTGAATGTTTCAACTTCAACGAATTCGGGGGAACATTTTTTGACCTTCATAGAATAACAATTTTTTCTTGGATCGTTTGCAGTAAAATTTGAATATCGCTAAAATGTTTCTACAAGATATATATAAAAAAATGACTCTACTAAAAAAACGTCCAAAGTGTTTGTACAGTAACTTACATGAATTTACTTTTTCGGTGACTGTTCACTCTAGAAGTTTCGATCGTCTTCAAATGACTGACAGCCAGGTCGAGATCGCTCGATCCTGGTCGACCTGGCTGTCCAAGTTTCAAATGGCTCCACCCTAACATTCGTCTGATGTAACATTCATGCATCATTTATCAATACAACGGCATTACAATTACAGCACCATCATCCCTATAACATCATTATTATCGCAACATCGTGATTAAATTTATAAATCTTTGAATCGATCGAAAAATAAATAATTAGGTAGCAAAAGAATAGGCAGCAAAAACAAACAAAATGGACGTACTTTAATTTGAAGAAGAAGTTGTTGGGTGGATGAGGATTTGATATTTGGTGGATGTTTGGAGATGACTTGCACAAGAAATTGCTTGACTGCTGGCTTAGAAGACTGACCAACGAAATATCAAAATGATTAAAAAGGTCTTGCTAAGACAACGTCACAACAGAATAAATGCAATATTATTTCAGAAGCAAAAATTTATAACAAACCAAATAAAAATAAGGCTTCAATCATAATTACAAAGGTTATTGTAAATAATTTACCAATTGACATTTTCTGTACGGGTTTTTTCTAATTCCTGAGCAAAGGACATAGAATCTACGTAAGGTGATTTGGAATCGGTGACATGTCGAAGAACTTTGGGATGTTTCGTTTGTTCCATTTGATGTACTCGATCCTTCAGTGAGTCGATCAGCTCCCTCAGCTCCTTGTTCTCCTTCACAAGTTGCTGCATCTTCATTGATGTAAACATTCAACATTGTAATAGAGATTTGTATATTACACGTCTAAATATGTGCTCAGACTGTTGGATAACGTTTGAAGTACAAATAAGAAAAGTTTATATACAAACCGCTTTCTTATCTTCGTTTTGGATGGTTTTGATTTTACTAATTTCTTCTTGCAGGACGTCAATCTCAACCTCGTGCTGTATTGATTAACAAATTATAAAATCAATTGATTGTATTGAAAAACAAACTATAAAATCAACTGAGTGAATTAGGATACGACAGTTATCAATCAATGATTCATAAAATGTTTCAATTTCGTTATTGATGAACACAGAATCTACAACAAATGAAACGTGAATTGTTTTAGAGTTTAATAAGTGGAAAAGAGAGTGCAAATAAAATGCTAACGATAAATTTTAATTACATTAGAGATAAAAGTGGAGGGAAAAGATTGCATAGTAATGAAAGAAGACAACAATGGCTGTTCCACACAACAAACTCTCATTCACACGCAGAAGTCACAACTCGCACTCAGAAAAATAAAAGATTACACTTCAGAGCCGCTATTCAAGTGTTCAAATTTTTAAAATCCAGTTTCTAAATATCTCGAAGAGAAGATTGCCTCATAGATGTGACAAGGCAACAAACCATACTATGTATGTTTTGATAATTTGAAAATCCGCTGGTTGTTCTTTTGGAAAACTGACATGTTGGATCGAGAAATTGTGCTGTTGGATTGAGAGTTTGGAAAAGTTTGCTGCTTTCAAGATTCGACTGAACCTGGCATTCAATCTTCTAGTAATTATTCTTCAATAATTAGTAGAAGATTGAAAGCACATATTTTTTCAAAGAATCGTTGAGCATCATGAAAAGGCGTTTTTGAAAGATTTGAAAAAAAAGAAACACTTATAATTACAACAACATAATCAAGCACCAAAAATAACCATTTATTCCCTATTAAATAAACAGACAGCGATGCCTTATAATGTAAGACAATGTTTATTAAAGGAAAATAAAAAACATAAAATAAAACAACGAACTCAAACAAAATAAAAAAATTTTAAAAAGAATTTAACCTTATTACACTTGTTGGCAAGCATTTCAACGGAATTTTTCCAAACAAGAGCCTCCTGTTCAAACTTTCCAAACCTCAATTCTCCCGATTCAATTCGCCTCTCCAGATTGTTGATCAACTTTTTTGCATTTCCGAATTCGACGTTGTAGCACTCCTTCAGTTGCTGAAAATCTTCTTGAGACTGTTGCTGCAACATCTTCACTTCATCTCTCAACATGTTGTTGTTGCTATTCAATTGATCAATTTGTCTGCGTAGTGAATAGGTTTCCTCCAATGAAGAGGACATTGTCGTCATGCTGTTCTGCTGGTTCACACTGCCATTCAGTCTCCAATTATTCATTATCCTGTCATGTTCAACATTCAAGATCGATAAATAAATTTCTTTAAACAAACACAATCTGAAAAACTTATAGTAATGTTATTTAGCATGCATTGAAAAAAGAGGAAAACATTTTAGTTGAAAATTACAGCTACTGAAGTTTAATCATAAGAAGTGCCATTTAATTCTGGAAATTAGATTGAACTTAAATTTACTTTTGTCCAACTGAACATGACGTTCCTTCGTCAACGTCGTCATCGTCATACTCATTGTTGTTAACATCAGTTTCGTTGTCCAACTCTTCACAAAGTTGAAATGATCGTCCCCTTGGAGTTTGAGAATACTTGAGCTGGTTCAGCTTGAGGTAACAATAAAATTATGATGATAATTTACCATATTGAAATCATTTTTTTATAAACCCGAAATTTAGAAAAATATTAATAAATATTTTTGTGTGGGAGAAATAAATAAGGGGTTGCAGAGAATTGTTGTACACAAACTGATAAAACGAGCAAGCATTTTATCCATCATAAAAAGTATAATAAATAGAAGAAAGACGTTCTGATTGTAAAAGTATGCAGGTGTTAATATTTCCATCATTTACATAAAAATTAAACCCTAAGCAAATATTTGTTTGCTCGGAGAATCAACTACAAAAACAAAAAAGGGTGGATGATTTGTAACAAATAAACAAACATACAAACAAACAAACATACAAACAAACATACAAACAAACATACAAACAAACAAACAAACCTCATCTCTCAAGTCATGTACTTCATTCGTCAGGTGATCGTTCTTATGTGATAGGTCGTGAGTGATCAACAACAACTTCTTCCCAATTTTTGCTGTTAAATTCAAGCCTTCATCTTTCTGTTCATGAAACGAAATATTAATGAACTGTAGTAACAAGTAATCCATACAAACATTAACATAATAAACGTTTCTACCCAAAAACAATAATAATAATGGGAACTCTTTTATTTTTTCCAAAAAAGGGGCAAAATAAATATTCAATGAAATAAAATAAAATAAAATGAATTAAAATGAGAAAGTAGTCTACGATGCTCGCCATTATAGATATAAAATGCGTACAACGAGAAATGTAATCAGTCTTAATATAGTTATTATACATTTGAATGTCTGTCGTAATAGATGACGTATGATGATGATATTACTGAATTAGTTAAATCGTAACATAATTGTTCAGTCTAAATAAAATTTACAAGAGATAGTCATAATGATAATAACAATAATAATGACAGTAATAATAATGATGATGATGATCATGACAATGGAAAGAAGTTATATATATCAAGATGATGATGATGATGACGCAAATGGTGATGATGATAAAGAAAAGATGACGACGATTATGACGCTGATAATGATGATGACGACGACGATGATTAAAATGATCATGACGATGATTAAAATGATGATGACGACGACATCGCCTTAATATAGTTATTGTACATTTGAATTTCTATCGTAATAGATGGCGTATGATGATGATATTACTGAATTAGTTAAATCGTAGCATAATTGTTCAGTCCAAATAAAATTTACAAGAGATAATTTAAAATGATTAAAAAGCCTAGTGGAGAGATTTCAAATGTGTTAATAATAATTGTTTTTGCTTTCTTCTCGTCAACCAGATTGTTGTGGATGTTTTGGTATTTAGATATCTTGTAGTTCCTTGATGTGTTGAAGTTGGATTCGTGGCAGACTGTCAGCTCCAGTATTTCGATGTTGTCACCACGATGGAGTGCTATGTCCGGCCGAGATGATTTGAAAAGGGACGATACTGGAGTGAATTCATCGCTGGTCGTATCGGCATAAATTGTAACATCTGGTTTTGCTACCGATCTAATCGTTTCCAAAATCAAGGACAGTATTTTGTTGTGTATAATAATAATAATAATAATATAATAATAATAATAATATGAGCATTTATATAGCGCCGATTCGCACAGCCGCTTCAGAAGCACCAAGAGCCTGTGTTTAAAAGATGAGTCTTTAGATATTTTTTAAGACGTTCAATGAGGAACATTGTCTCAATTCAAGAGGTAACACATTCCAGACAATTGGAGCGGTGTGGCGAAAGCCGCGGCTACAACTTCGTCCCGCCACTAACTTCGAATCCTATAAGAACTGATCAAACATGGTTCGATGAAATGCAGAGAAACGGAAATAAGCAAAAGTAGCGTTTTTAAATAGTAAATCAATCACACTGAGCAACAAAAAAAATTTTTGAGGAAATTTCCTTATTTTTTACAACTGATTTATGATAATTTGGCACCGCTGAGTCCGAAAATGACATCCGTTTCTCTAGGTCAGGTCCAGTTTTTCTGCTAAGTTAAATGTTTATTTTATTTTATTTGTGAATAAATCAGTAAAATTTTTGTGCCATAATCGGTTTATTTCTATGAACATTTCTCATTCGGAATTGGTTTCAAAGAGAAAAAAGCGTTCTGAAACACAGTACCTTAAGTAAGGGTCATTAATGTTCGTCATTGTTAAGAATTTAGGGCTGGAACTTCCGTTTATTGGATACCCTGGAATGCTCAGCATCAGGGATGTCTCTCTTTAGAGTCCAGCAGTAATCAGCCATCATGACGGCATTCCAACGTCCCTGATACCTGGTCTCCATCTCCTTTATCTCCTGGTGGAATCTCTCTCCCTGCTCGTCGCTCATTGATCCAAGATTCTCAGGAAAACGATCCATATGTGAAAATAGATAATGCAGTTTGATGCTCATGTTGCATCCGAGTTTTTTGAAAGCAGTCACCATATTGTTGACAAGTTCAGCATAGTTTCTGGCCTTGTTGTTGCCAAGGAAGTTTTTCACAACGAGAACAAAAGCATTCCATGCTTCCTGTTCCACTTTGTTCATTGACTTTTCAAACTCTGGATCTCTGATGAGCCGACGGATTTGAGGACCGTCAAAGATACCAGCTTTTAACTTTACTATGGTTACTCCCGGAAATGTCTGGCACATGTAATTGAAGCAGCCACCTTCCTTGTCTAGAGCTTTTGTGAACTGCTTGATCAAGCCAAGCTTGATGTGCAGTGGTGGGAAGAGTATCCTGTCTCTGTCCACCAGAGGGCTGTTGATAACGTTACTTGCTCTGCAAGGCACTAGTTCCTCTCGCACAGGCCAGTCCTTCTTCGTGTAATGGTGAGCAGTGTCCCTACTGTCCCACATGCACAGAAAACATGGGTATTTGGTGAACCCGGATTGTTGCCCCAACAAAAAATTCACCATCTTCAGGTCGACACAAATAACCCACTTATGCTGATCATAACGA